CGGGACCCCACTCCCTTCCAGGGGGTCCTATCCTGGGATTTGGGCTAGCTGGTGCTGCTGAAGTGCCCCTGGAGAGGGCAGTTTGGCTTTTTCTGTCCCTGATTACCAAACCACAGTGTGGTTGTTGAGACAGGTTTGCCCTGGTAGCCCATTTGCTTTGCCTCCCTGGAGGGTTTTGCCCAGTACCCCCCACGGAGCTCCTCCACTGGTATCTTCTCTTGCTGTGGAGACCCTCAGACATGCAAAACTCTCCTTTTCCTACCTGAAGTCTTTGTCCCTTCCCATTTAGCACCTCTTTAAACCTCGGAGGGGCCCATCAGGGTCCCTGGCTGGGAGCTGGCTGGGAGCTGGCTGGGAGCTGGCTGTCCCGGGCTGCCTGTCCTGGCAGATGTGGCCCCAGCTCCCCAGAGCTGCTTTGTGCTGTTTAACTCCCAAGGTGTCCCTCTGGGTGCACTAAAGCCATTGTCACTCACCCGAGAAGCTCCAGATGACTCAGGTCTCTCTGAACCACTGTCCCATTCTCTCTTTTATCACTTTTTATCTTTCAATAGAGAAAGATTATCCCCAGCTTTCTGCCAGGCCCCTGTCAGCCCCCAGCAGGTCTCCCCAGCTGGATCCTTCTCCTCTCAGCTGCCCCAGCCCAACTCTCTCCTGCTGGGCTCCCAGCAGAGGGGTTCCCCCCTCGGGGCATTGCTGGGGCTCCTCTGGCCCCGCTCCAGCAGCTCCCTGGCTCTGCTGTGCTGAGGACTCCAGAGCTGCCCCAGCACTGCAGGGGGGCCTCCCCAGTGTGGGGCAGAGGGGCAGGATCCCCTCCCTGCCCTGCTGCCCACAGATCAACCCTGCAATCCCATCAGATGTCCAGACTAAAGCTTCTCCTCCACGAAGCCAGGCAGACTGGTGTTAGCTACCCTCACCTCCTTCACTGTATTAAATTTTCTTTTCCCCAAGTCCAAGGTTATTTTGCACTCACTGTTTCCTGCTTTGGAAGGCTGGCTTTGTGTCAGCTGCTCCAGCACCCACAGAGGTGGGACAGGGAGAAAACTCACTTCAGGACTGAAAAAAAAAGACATTTAAGGTTTACAATAACTGCATCTGCTGGGCTGGGCTTGCCCCAGCTATCCAACACAATCCCAAACAGCTCCAGAGACCATCTCCCAAGAATGGAGCTGCCTGCTCTGAAAGATAAGCTAAAAGAACCATGGGAAGCAGCTGGGTGTAGGACTAGAAACTGGGCCTCCTCTGCTTAGTGTGCTGCCTGCAAGCCCAAGTTCTGGTTTGGGTGTCTGTGGGTAGTGTGGTGACTGTGTGGTATCTGCTCCATGGCAGGCTGCTAAAGAGTTTCACCCAAAATGCTACGAAGAGACTCATCTCTCCTGCTGGATTCCACCTAGTTCAGGTTAATTCCCTTAAACCTTTGTGTTTTTTAATGTGTTAGAAGTGCCACCAGCAGCTACAACACTTCATCTGGAGGCACGTGGTGCCATCCCCACAGCCTGGCTGAGAACCACCAGCTGCTGAGAAGCAGAGGGGTGTGGTCACCCCTGCAGAAACCAACGGTGTTTATATTTGGCTAAGGGTGGTGGCACCTCAGCTCTCAGGGTGAGAAGGGCACATGCACCCCTAGGGTTTCACAGGGCTTCCCACAGAGCTTCCCTGGGCCAGCTGGGCTGTTCAGAGGGTGCTGGAGACATGCTTGCATGACAAAAGCCTGGCCCAGAAGTGCTGACTAAGGTGTGAAGGCCTTGCTGAGGCTGAAATAGGTTTGTCAGCCTCTTGCACAAAGCTGAAGCGTGACCCTCTGGCAGAGGTCTGCCTTTGGTTCTTTTTTCTAACTTCAGAGGCCTCATGGAGAGGCAGAGTGCTCACAGACCACCTCTTCTTGGCCACAAAGCTTGTAACGGGGCACTTGGCTGAAGCACCAGCTGGAAGGATCAGATCCTTAGTCAGGATTTGGCTCTTGTGCCAGCCAGCCTGAGGCCAGTGCTGTTCCAGGGTTGAAATGCAACTTCTGTTGCTGAGAGGAGTTCGTGGATCTCTCAGAATTTCACTTCCCTATGTATTACATAGAGCACACATGGCTGTGGGGGATAGTTGGGTTGAGAAACAGGGGTTGGGGTTTGGGTCCTGTGGAGCATTGTCCCTGAGAGAGCTACAAGCATGATTAAAAGCAGAAGTGGTTGTGGGGAGTAAAACTGCTGGGGAATTCTGGAGAGGGAGCAAAGTGGTTGAGCAGGTCCAGGAGATGCAGAAGTGAATCTATTATTTCCTGCACTCAGCAAGGGAAAAAGTCTGGTGGAGGCACCTCACAGCCCTGCAGTCCTGGGTCACTGTCCTCCACACTCTTCACTTCATCCCTCAGGTGAACATTTATCACATGCACAAGAGAGGTGGCAGGAGCCCCATCCCTGGAACCATCCCAGGGGAGGTTGGATGGAGCTCTGAGCACCCTGCTCTAGTTGGGGATGTCCCTGCTCCCTGCAGGGGGAGTGGATTAGGTGACATTTGAGGTCCCTTCCCACCCAAACCAGTCTGTGATTCTGTAAGAGAGAAAACTGGGCTGAAGCTGCCAGTGAGAAGACTTTAAGATGAGCTGCAGTGGGCTTTGCAAGGCTGACAGAGAACACCTGGCAAGGAAGGACAGAGGATGGGCAGAGCTGAGCTTCCTTGCTTTAGGGACCTTTAATGATCATCTAGCCCCAGCCTCCCTGCAGTGAGCAGGTTGCTCAGAGCCCATCCAACCCAACCAGTCAGTTTGGTGGCCCCTCAGTTTCTGCACACTGGTGAAGAACCAGCTGTGGAGCACATCAGCCCAGAGAGTAAGAGGGAAGCTCTGGTGCTGTGTAGGTGGGTGCAGCAGCAGCTCCCTGGCCAGGACCTGGGTGGGCTGGAGTAGGGACCCATACTCAGCACAAGAGGCAGGGTGTACCCCAGCACTTCATCTGACTGGCATCTGCTGCATACGTTCAGTCTCAGAAGAGCAGAAAGGAGACAGCAGGATGGGAGGGCAGAAAATGATGGGCTACTTGGGTTATGAGTGATATCTCCTGCTCATTTCCCTGTCCCTCAAAGGGCAGGTAAAGCAATGGCTGGACAGACACATGGAGAGGTGAAGAACCCATCACAGAGCTCTGGGGGCAACTCTAGTCATCTCACTCAGGCTCTTGTTTGCAGTGGCTGTCAGCTGCTGCCCCAGGAGGCACTTCCTCCCCATGCCCTTTCAGGGGGGTGGTGTCAGATCCCACCTCTCCAGAAGCTGGAGAACCAAACCAGGGCTGCAGGATGGGCTCTGGGGGCTGCCCAGGCTGTGGGTGTGCCAGGTCCTGCAGCCACCCTGCCCTCCCTGCCGTGCCCAGAGCCCCCAGTGCCCAGACAGCCCTTCTCCCAGCCCTGCCAAACCACAGGGGTTGTTCTCTAATGACTGCAGGCACTTCTCATCTCCATGTTTTGGGGACAAATAGGCTTTGAAAGACAACTTTCAAAGTAAGGTATTTTAAAAGGGAGAGCCTGCATTTCCAGCTAGCACAAAAGAAAACCTCTGAGGAATGACTACAGGATAAGAGGCCAGAACTTCAACAAACAGCCCTCTGGCCATGAGAGGAGAAAATGTCACTGGTCACAGTAGCCCCCCATGGGAGAGTTTGTCATAGTCACCACCACAGCTTATGAAACTGCATGGGCAAGGGCTGTCTCACACCTCAGGACTTCTTTATTTCATGTTTAGTCTTGCAAGGCTTACTGTAAAGAGAGGCTCTAACAACTGTTGCTGCCAGTGAAACCAAGAGTTGTGCACCACTGGTGTCTGCCACCCACCCATGCTCTCCTTGCCCTCACAAGGAGCTTCAGCAGTGCAGTTACCACTGTTATCACTGACCTTTCATAGAAACCCAGAACCATTTTGGTTGGAAAAGACCTTTCAGATCATGGAGTCCAACAATCCCCCAGCACTGCCAGGTCCCCACTGCCCCGTGTCCCTCACACCACATCTATAGCTCTCCTTTCAGCCACAGCTTTACCAGGCTTGTTTGACCATGTTGACATCTCCTTGGGCTTCTGCACAGCCTTATCACCTTCAAATTTCCTTCATTTCCTACAGCAAGAGGAAGTTACAGCCTCTTGCAAGCTCTTTGCCCCGAGCTGGGAGCAGGCAGAATGCAGGAACATCTGCACCTCTCTAGGATTTTTGGTTCCTTGCAAACAGAACTCCTTGCAGAGACTTGAACCCCACATCCCTGATGTTATTGGTGAGCCCAGAGGGTCACCCACCTGCAACCCCAAACTCTCTTTGGGTGCCAACTCCAAGCTAACAAGCTCTGGCTCCATCCCAACTCCCTCACAGCCACGGCAGGAGCGCTCACAGGACGCTCTGGTGCTTGAGGAGAAGGCCCAGCATAGTTTCTTTTGATCACAGAGATGATCATTTGGCTCATGCCCTTTTAAAACACCTCACCAAAGACACACTGGCTCTCAAGGGATCTCCCAGTGCCAGATTTGCTCCTCCCACACCAACAAGCATCAGCTCAGAGCTGGCCAAACTGGACATCTAACCACACTTTGCCCACACCAGGTTCTTGGTGTGGGATGAGCTTGGGCTCTTGGGTGGTGCTGACAGGCCCTGGGTACCAACCAGCACCCCACATGGGGGGCTCATGTCCTGCTGGGGGCTGCCCAGCAGCCTGGGAGAGCCCCGTGTCCCTCAGCTGCCACCCCCCTGCACAGCTCAGGCACTTGGTGGCATTCTGCTTCTGCTGCTCGTCCAATAAACAGGCACTCATTTGATTGAAGTTCTCATTTATCATCTCTCACCCTCATTTTCAGTGAGAAAAATTGGGCTTTTGCTAGTAACAACCATCCCCTCTGCAACAATGCAGCTCTCATTAACCCAAGCAGTGACAAACTCCCTGAGCACGAGTGTTGTTGAGGCCCCTTCCCACAGCAGACCCTGGATTGCTCTCTCCAACGTCCCTCTCCTTGCCCTTTTCAGGCTCTCTCCACCCAGAAGCATGACAGAAGCACTCCTGGGAACCACAGCTGAGTACATTTATGATGAACAAGCCTTCTCCTGCAACAAGACTGACATCCAAGAGTTTGGAAAAATATTTCTGCCGATATTTTACCTCGTGGTGTTTGCTCTTGGCCTCACGGGGAACCTCACGGTGGTTTTGGCCATCCTGAAAGCAGGCAGCAAGAAAAGCATCACTGACATCTATCTCCTGAACCTGGCTGTCTCAGACCTTCTCTTCGTGGTCTCCCTCCCCTTCTGGGCCTCCAGCACAGTCCGGGGGTGGACCCTGGGGACCATTCCATGCACGGCTGTTTCTTCCCTGTATTACATTGGGTTTTTTGGGGGCATGTTCTTCATCACCATCATCAGTGTCGACAGGTACTTGGCCATCGTCCAGGCAACGTATTCCCTGAAATCCAGGACAATGAAATGTGGTTTTCTCATCACCTGTGGAGTGTGGGCTGCAGCAGTTTTAGTTTCAGTGCCCCATTTCATGTTCTCCCAGCTGGTGGAGGACGACTGCACATCTGTCTTCCCCCAGGAGCTGGAGAACATCTGGCCTGTGTTCTGCAACGTGGAGCTGAACACCATTGGCTTTTTCATCCCAGTCTGTATCATCTCCTACTGCTACTGCGGGATCATCAAAACTCTGCTGGCCTGCAAGAACCAGAAGAAGACACGAGCCATGAAGCTGATCGTGGTTGTGGTAGTTGTGTTTTTCCTCTTTTGGTCCCCCTACAACGTCGTGATTTTTCTAGAGACTTTAAAGCACTGTGAGTTATTCACAAGCTGCAGCCAGATGAGGTCCCTGGACTACGCCATGCACCTGACCGAAACCGTCGCCTTCAGCCACTGTTGTCTCAATCCTCTCATCTATGCCTTTGCTGGGGAAAAATTCAGGAAGTACCTTTATCACCTCTGCTTGAAGTACTGCCCGTTCCTCTGCTTCTGTGGTCCCTGCAGCCGCTACCAGGTCACCTCCTCAGCCAGCTATGCAGAAACCATCCTGAACAGCAACGTAACCCTCAACACCAGCGACCAGGAGGCCTCTGTCTTTGTCTAGAAGGCCCTGTGGAGAAGAAATGTGTGTAAATATGTCTTCTGCAGGGCCAGCCACCCCTCAGAGGTTGCCACCACCCACAGGAGGAGACTGACCTACTGACGTGCCTCTTGTTGGGCATGAAACATTCAAAACCAGTAAAGATTTTCAAAAACAATAGGTCGAGGCTGAACGTGCAAATGGATTGAGGGAAAGCAGAAGCAAGAGCAGCCTCAAAAAGGGGAGATGGAGAAGAATTTAAGGGTAGGGCAACTGTTAAAGGGTTTCCTCATCACAACGTGGATGTGTGGTACCAATGTCCATAGACCTGAACTCGTTTCTCAAGGGAACAGAGATCCCTTGAAGGAATAGCAGCTGTTAGCAAAGGGCAGTACTTTGGATAGTAAATTTTGATGCTGTATGTCCCCATGGAGGTGATTTGGGGGTTATTAATGGCAGTGAATATTTTATCTGTGCTTTCATACCTAATAAAATCCTACTAGTAAAAAAAAAGAGTTATTTCTGAATACATCTTTAGTGCCAACAATGTACCCAGGCTTTATAGCATCCAACAACCAGAGCAAGGACTGTCCTGAAGGAGTTGGGACCTGACCTGCTGCTAATCTAAGTCCACAGACATATCTCCTGATTTCCACAGGCTGTGGCCTGAGCCTAAGGCCAGAGTTTGGTGGAACCCTTCACTCAGCACATCCCCAAATGCTCTGCTGAGCAAGAGGCCTCCAGCTTGATCAACAGAGTGATGATGCATTGGGGGTGGAAAATGTCAATCAGATGATGGAGAGTCCTTCCCCTGGGGCCTAGCTGGGCAGCTCCTGCCATCACCTGCTGCCAGAGCACAGGAGATGTCTGTTGGCATTGTGGGCTGGAGTTCAGTGGATGGAAAAAAGGACTCTTGCCATCTATGAAGCTGAGATCACCTTACCAGGAAAAATCAAGGCCCAGTCTTAAGAAATGAGCCCGTGCCAGTGGGACCTTGTTGCTGTACACTGGTGGGACTGGCAATGTGTCAAATCTGAAGATCTCATTTTCCAGCTAACACAGGGGAGCTGTGCTAGAGGGTCAGTGGGTGGAGTTTTCTTTGTAGACCTTAGTACCACCTTGTTTCTAAGAAAGCTTGGAGGAGTCCCTCTCCATTGAGCAATTTTCCATATGCAGTAACTCCAAAAATATTAAATATTCCATTTGTTGCTCCTGAACCTTGAGCCCTCTCTACAGCATAGCAGCCCCTTTTCATGAAAGGCCTTGTGTGAGGTGTAAATAAATCCTGAGTGCCCAATGTTCAAAATTTCAGCTGTGAGTGGACATCCAGACTCTAAACTTACCATCTAATACTGTCCCTGGGAATGAAACAACTTCTCAAAATCCAAGTGAGGTAAGACAACTCTGTCCCCACGTCCAAGCAGTGTTTTTAAGCCGTGGTATTTTTACACTGCTTTTTAAAGAAATGCTAAGACCTGCAGAAAGAAAGAGGAAGGTGCTCTGAGACTAAACAAGAAGTCATCTGCACCAAAGCAGTCTGCAGAGGCTGGATTGCCAGGCTGAGCAACACCAGCTCACTTGGTTTAACCTTCCTTTGATTTTTCAGACAGTGCTGAGTTCCTGAGTGGGAACAGTAAAAGGCACCTTTAGATATGATCCATATATAAGAGTGTGGCCAGCAGGTCGAGGGAGGTTCCACCCCTCTGCTCTGTCCTGGTGAGGCCACCTTGAGAGTATTGGGTCCAGTTCTGGGCTCCCCAGCTCAAGAGAGACAAAGAGCTACTGGAGAGAGTCCAGTGGGGCTACAAAGATGCTGAGGGGCTGGAGCATCTCTCTGCCAGGACAGGCTGAGAGCCCTGGGGCTGTGCAGCCTGGGACTGAGAGGGGATCTGATCAATGCTGAGCAAGAGCTAAAGGGCAGGAGGCAAGAGGCTGGGGCCAGACTCTGGTCAGTGGTGCCAGTGACAGGACAAGGGGCAACGGGCACCAACTGGAACCCAGGAGGTGCCACCTGAGCAGGAGGAGAAACTTCTTTGCTATGAGGGTCACAGAGCCTGGAGCAGCTGCCCAGAGAGGCTGTGGAGTCTCCTGCTCTGGAGAGATCCCAAACCCTCCTGGCTGTGACCCTGGGCACCCTGCTGTAGGTGAGCTGCTGGAGCAGAGGGTGGGATGAGATGATCTCCAGAGGTCCCTTCCAACCCCCATCATGCTGGGTGGGATCCTGGGATTTATGTGCAAGGTCTTATGGCTCAATATGGAAGTATTTGGATGAGATTAAAAGCTCCAGCAGGGTTTTCTAGGCATTGGTCTCTGCAACAAATTGCTAGTTGATGGAGAAGCCTCCTCATAGCAGAAGTGGTAAATCTTTGAAAACCAACATCAGTGGTTTCATCTTGTTTGCATTAGCAGGAAGAGTTTTGTTGCAATTATCCCTCAAAAAACTCAAACCACACCTCCAAGAAACATCCCAGTGCTGAGAGAAACCAGTCACACACTTTGCCAGGCTTGGGTTCACCTGCAGCTTGCTCCTCATGTCCTCTGCTGGGAGCTGTGGCAGCTGATGCTGTGTGGTTGCCTGGGTTTGTGCTGGTGTTACACACTGCACCCCTTGAGGGATTCTTTGCACCCACTGATGTCTCTTCGAGCCCCTCTGCTGCACTTCCAGTTCATTGTAGTCTTTATTTAAATTCACCACTTCTCTCTCAAAACCTCTGCAGCAGGAAACTGGTGCTTTCTAACTGCCCAGCTGGTTTCCAGCCTACACTCTCCTCTGTGCAGCACAAATGCTGCACCATCCAGAGGCAGGATCAGCACAAGGCTGAGGAGCAGCAACACCCAGTCCCTGTGCCTGTTACACTCCAGAAAACAAACCAGTCTCTCAGGATGGGATAAAACCATCCCATCTACCAAAAATTAAGGATAGATTCTTACTTAGGAAGTCCCAGTTTACAGAGGAGAATGTGTGCACACTCACAAGTGCATATCTGCTGTACCTGTCCATTGAATAGGAGCTGGCTGGAGAAAAAGGAGGGCAGGAAATCTTTGAATTTGGTGGGACCATTGGGTTTTGGGGTTCTGGTTGGTGGTGAGCTATCTTTGCTTCTTATTTTTCCATCAAGATTGACTTTTTTTTTCCTGTTTGAGAATCACACTGACATTTAACATAAATCTTTTCCCAGCTGGGTTACAGCTGGAGGCACTAAAAAAAGCAGAACCTAAATTTTCTCAGTGGGTTCACAACTTGACTTCATGTTCTTCTTGTGGATAGAATGAACAAGAGACATATTCAGCTGAACTGCTTGCAGTGAGACACGTGGACCCCACTGGCTTTTTTAGGTGCCACTGTGAATCCTCCTCATTCAAATACCACCTCACAGTCCCAAAAATGCAGCAGTCAGAGCAGGACACTGATCTTGGAAATCACTCCATGGGGAAAACTCCTCTTTTCAATATTTTTCAGGTTTTTTCCTCAGTAATTCACCCAGAACTCTAAGGAAAACCTGTGACTTCCAGAGCTGTCTCCTTTTGAAACCCAAATCCAATAATCAAAGCTAAAATTTGGAACAATTTGTCCCTCTAAAAGGATGGCTTCTGACACTGGGCACATACATGCAGCTGCTGCTGAAGCTGGTGATAATTCTGCTGCCATTGTTAATAAGAACTTCCTAATTTACTGGGTAACTGCTGTATGAGCTTGGTTTTCAACACCTACACCCCCAAAGCTCAGGACCTGGGTTTTGCAGTGTCAGTGTTAACACATTGTTTAACGTGGGGAAAAAATTATCCACCAACAGCCCCTGGATGATTTTGTTTGTTACACTAGTATTCCAAAGACAAATATCAAGGGTTAATCTGTTGCAAAATAGTTCCCATGGGACAGGGGGGAAATGATTTGCTTGTGAAGAACAGTTGTCTTCAACCCAATTTCCAAATCCTTCCATCAGCAGGGAGCAGCCCTTTGACTTTATTTAGTGACTGGGATAGAGGATGCAAGCAAGGACCCTGGGCCACCTTTCTCACTCTACAGGGGATGTTATCCACTTGCCAACTGGAGCACTCTTTTCCACCCCACTCAGATTTTAGGTCTCTGAGAAGCTTTCAGTCACATCCAGCTGCAGCCCAACAGTCCAGCTACATCCAGGTCTTTACACTGGGGTAAAGCAGGCAACTGAAAGAAGCCACGTTTCTCCCAGAAAAAAGTTTTCATTTAGCCCATAAATGCCACATTTGCTACGTTGGAATTAAGCCCAGCACAGCTTGCAGTGGCCATGATCTGCAGGGCACGTTAGAGGACCCTGAGGAAGCAGGACAGGCGTTGTCTCCACGCCTCTGCTGACAAGACAGTTCCCTCTAGTGCCCAACACAGGCTGCTGCTTCTGTGTGCAATTTCTGACACACTTCACCAACACAGCTCCTTAGACACAAGAACTCCTTGTAACCCTGAGCTGCAGCTCCAGGTATTTTTCCAGGCTCCAACCAGGGAGGGGCAAACTAGAAGGAAATGTCTAAGGGGCACCTGGAGAAGGTTGTTGCACCATTTTTGTGCACAGCCCTTTGCCAACCCTTTGCCCCAGGTAAGCCCAGTTTGGCCACAGCAGGAGCTCATGGCAATGGGAGCATCTCCCACTGAAGGGCCTCAAGGAATAGTGGCTAAAAACACTCAGGGATGGGGGACTGGGAGAGTGTGCACAGGAATCACTCTGTCAACACTTCCTAGGGACAGAGAATCATAGAATGTTTTTGGCAGGAAGGGACCTTTAGAAGTCATCTGTAAGTTGTTAGACCTCCTGGTAGAGAAGAAGGACCCTCTCCAGCACAGTCTCTCTGCCCTGGAAGGATGTTTGAGGAGGCTCAAAGCTGGGTTTGTCTTTTCTGTAAATGGCAGCAATAGAGCTGACTAAAATTTGACCAGGTTTGAAGCCCCCAAGTGGCTTCAGAGCCCCCTTCCAGTGGGTCCTTGCTTTATACAGCCCCATTCCCCCTTGGGGTCCTACCTTAGGTGTCCTTGTACTGCTCTCAGCTGA